AAAGCACATTTTTGGTTTGAGTTAGCTCAAATTCCTCTGAATTGTGAGAATAGAGGAAACTTTAAATTCAATCCTCCCACAACTACCCTGAAAATGCTATTTGGGAAAACTGAGCCAATACAAAGTACACCAATGTCATGTATAACTAGCCATTATCCCTCTTCAAACCATGACCTTTCCTACTGCAACCTCTGCCCATGCCCAAGTGGCACATTTCCAGGCATCAGTCACTCCCAGGTGGAGCCAGGACAGAGTGCAGAGCTCACTCCTCTCAAGGTCACACATACCAACATTCACCCACCGAGCTCATCTGGGTCCCAGTGCATGTCCTTCTCCAAACATCCCAGAGGGAAACGCATTCTGTTGTGTTGTGCAGCGATGGTAACTCTTGCAGCACGTACTAGTTATTAGAAGCTTGTATTACAATTGATTTGCAGATGACACTTAACACTATGATGTGTCTGGTGGGTAACAGCTGTTTGAAGCATATGGAATTGCATTCTAATCATTGGAATTTTGTGTTTAACTTCAGAAATAGGAAAACCAGTATTAAGAAATATATGTATGAGAAGTTTCATCCTTAACATAGATGCCCAAGGGCTTTTACTTAGCAGAGGTGAAGGACACTTTCATACTGATGTCTCACCTTTTGGACAGTGCAGAGGCAGTTCTAGCACTGGCTGGTCAGTGAATCAATGCCTGTGCACAAAATGGCTCAGAACTTGCCTGGAGCTAAGTGCTTGCCTTCACAATGGTAGACCAGAACTAATATATCATATCTGACACAGTAGATCTAACTATGCACATAGTCACCACTTTGCAAGACCCCTGGAATAGCTTTTCAAAACTAACTACTCCCCTAAGAATTATGTACATAACTATTGCTTGGCAGATCCCCTCCCAGAAATTCCATTACAGATTTTTGGGTCTGCAGGGCAGTCAGCAATTAACATAACTGGATCAACATTTCCAAGTCTTCATCTCTACCAATGCAGAAAAGGTGCAAGGAATAATTCATTAGAGGAATCCAGAGGAGCACACAGTCCCACAGCCAAAAGTTAAGATAAAACATTGGCCACACGTACTGTAACAGATGTAAAAATTATATTCAGTGCACAGTTTAAGAAGAGCTTGTTTTCTAACCTTAAAGTGGACTAATATTATTTCCAGTCTTTACTGCTCACTGCTGCCATTTTTACCTTACTGAAAGAGTGAAGATGTGAGTAAAGGCAGCTCAGTGTGAACTGTTCTGCAGGCCAAGATATACGAAGAATATAAACGTAAGGATGAGTGATGACCAGACTTTGTAGTTCACCTTGCTGCCAAGCCCTGGAGTTTCTCATAGTTATCCACCCTATCCCACTGAACTCCTGATAAGAGAATGAAAACAGTGGTTTGTGGGTAACTCAGCACATCCAAATGTGTCAGTCTAGCACTGGAATTGTTCAGAGCCAGGAAAAAACACACGCAACACTCTTCACAGGTGAAAAACAAGTCCCATTCCTCCTCTACAGCAAGCAAAATCAGGTGGGTTTTTTTTTCTTCATTAGCAAGGCAGTTTGTGAACGGGCAATACCTGAGACTGACATGCTCCAAGATAGCAATGGTCACATCCACATTTAATATGCCTTATGCACAGGCTGCAAAAAAATCACAAAAGGAAGAGGAAAAACACTCACAAAAGTCAAGTCATTCTGATTTTATATTCAGTCTTTGCAAATCAAGGATGTCCTATTTTCACTATTCAAGGCAAAAGTCTACACAGGCATGTCAAAAGCAGTAAGTGAAAAACAGTAAACACAACAGTCTTGAAAATACGTTTAATGTCTAATCTTATACAAAAGTGACAGCATTTTCAAAAAAATATCAAATCCTGTATTTATAGCTTCTCACTATCATACAGCAATATTTGTTTCATCTAAAGAAAATACAGCAGCAGGTGATAATCTATACTTTAAAGATGTGATTGCTTATATTTCATATTGTAAACAAATGCAGTATGTCAATCTCAAAGCACAAGTCAAAACGAACTTCTCAGCAATTTAACTCAAATGAGGCATAGAAATGTACAAATTCCATTGCAAAAGCTTCAGGCCAGAAGTTGCTCACACTTGACATAACATGTGATAAAGTTACTACACGGTATATAGTGACAACTTGAGTTTTTACACAATAGATTAACAGGTATACCCTTTTCACTGCTATGCAAAGAACTTTGCTCACAAAAACAAAGGGGTTATGAAACAGTTTCCATGACCTCAAGAAATACGAATATACATTGAAAAACATCCCATATATACTGAATTTTAGCCTAAGTGTTCCAGTACTAAATCCTGCCTATTTCAGGAAGAACCTAGAAGTCTAGTTACTTTTACAAATCCCCTTTCAAAAAAATCATTACTTGCTACGTTCGCTTTATCCTTTCCTACTTCTTCCCATTCCCTGCAAAGACATCCAGCCAGTGCAATTCTGAACTGGAGTGCTGCTACTGCATGACCCATTCATTTGGAATATATGTTTTGTTATTATATTGATTTATTATCTAAGGCTGCAGGTATCAAAAAAGCACTTGAGCAAATATAGTCAATGTTCTCTTATGTTAATTTTAAATTAGTCTTGCCAAGATCTAAGCCAGGTCTGTTTGGGGGCAATTGAGCCTTATTTAAGGTTAGTGAAGACTTGCACTTTCGGCTCCTATTTCTAGAGTTACAGATGCCAAGTTTTAAGCTGAAACATTAAGTTTTTTGTTCAGCTCCAGTATTGTCTTTCTAGAACAAAAAATACATATACCTTTTCTATTAGCTTCCATAACTTTAAATTAAAACAGCACCAGCTAACTGCTTTCTTTTGAAAAAATACTGCAGGACTTCGCCATAAAGGGATGCCATCCAGCAGGACCTTGACACGCTAGAGAGACGCACCAATGCCAACCTTATGAAGTTCAAAGTGAAGCACAAGGTCCTGTACCCGGGTCAGGGCAATCCCAGGCACAGCTACATGTTGGGCAGAGAAGTGATTCAGAACAGCCCTAAGGAAGACTTGGAGGTGGTGACTGATGAGAAACTAAACATGACCCAGCAGAGCGCACTTGCAGCCCAGAAACCAACCATACCCTGGGCTGCATCAAAAGGAGCATGACCAGCAGGTCAAGAGAAGTGATCCTGCCCCTCTGCTCTGCTCTCGTGAGACCTCACTCAAGTCTTGTGTGCAGTTCTGGTGTCCTCAACATAAGGACACGGAACTGCTGGAGCAAGTCCAGAGGAGGGCCACGAGTACGATTAGGGGACTGGAGCACCTCCCATATGAATATAAGCTGAGAAAGTTGGGGCTGTTAAGCCTGGAGAAGAGAAGACTGCACAGAGACCTCATAGCAGCCTTCCACTAACTGAAGGGGGCCTATAGGGATGCTGGGGAGGGACTCTTCATTACGGACTGTATCAATAGGACAAGGGGTAACAGGTTTAAACAGGGGAGATTTAGGGTAGATATAACTCTGCGTGTGGTGAGGCACTGGAACAGGCTGCCATGGAAGCTGTGAATGCTACATCCCTGGCAGTGTTCAAGGCCAGGTTGGACGAACTTTGAGAAAACTGGTCCAGTGTGAGGTGTCCCTGTCCAAGGCAGGGGGTTGGAACTAGACGATCTTAAGGTCCTTTCCAACCCAAACCGATCTATGATTCTGTAAAGGCTAAACTACAAACAAGCATCACCATCAGGTCACCCCATTTGTTTTTAAGAAGTCCATCACACACATGCAGGAAGCCACAATAAGGTACTGGAAGAGAATCACCTCACTTTCACAGTTCCATGATACAAAGACTCCCTAATGAGATACTATATTAAGCAAAACTTGCTCCTAATTCTACCTACAAAGGCTAAGTTAGGATATCCCCAGCTGGGGATAAAACAAGCCATCCATGGTCAGAGTATAGGCTATGAAGTACCACAAAGAGTGCCAGAACTCCTCACTGACACATGGCTCCATGTCTTGGTAACACTAAACTAGCATTGCAGCAAGCCCCTTGCATGCACTTAGCACAGATATGGCAAGAATATGAACACCGACTGCAGTGCCCCTTCAGAGGGGGAAGACAGCTACGCAGCAGTGCTTCTAGACATTCAATTACTCCTAAGTTACACTTACTCAGTGAGGTATGCAGACACCTTAGCTGAGAACAGAGGACTTCTCCCCGTTACAACACCCAGGGAAACTCCAGTAAGACCTCCTCCTTCTCAACTGTGGCAATAAGGATCTTTGTAGCTGATGGAACTAAATGCCATGCCAAAAATGGCTGGGAAGGGAATTGTCAGATAGGGATTTTTTTTTGATCTTTTATGCTCAAGTTCAGTTTCCAGGGACTCTGAAAAAGTCTGCTGAGTTTACACCACGCAACAGCAAAGTCAAATTTTAAATGACTAGAACCCAGGTTAGAAATAGGGAAGTACCTTACCTAAGTGGGAATCAGTTTCTCTTTACACAGACCAAGCCAAACTTCCAACCACCACAGAATGAGAACTGGCAAAATGATGTCCTCATTTGCATGCATAAAACTCACATCTGTTGATTTAAAGTTAACTGCACATCCAGGTTATTTAATTTGCACATAAATGCCTGTTTGTGAACATGAACAGTGTGCTGACAGGTCAGACCAAGTATTTCAAATCTTCTCCTCCGTAGTCCAGACTGAGCAATAAGGTTCGAGTATATACAAAATGCTGAGAAAACCTTCAAGTTCCCATGCTCTGTCTCTTTAGTCTGAATGACTGTAGCATGTTGAAAAATTAGATTTCTTGACTAAAATCTTGAAATACTTTATTGACATTTTAGAACAACCTGAAAATAGACAAAATATGACTATCCATCCATTCAGTGACCAGCACAAGTCTGGCAACAAGACTTAAAGCATTCATGGAAATTTAATAATTAACTTCTAAGTCCTTGGGCCCGATTCCTTGTAATTCTTGGCAGCTCTCATTTTTCCAAGGAATACTTGCTAATATTAAGATCCACAGATGTTTTCTGTGAGATTTCTGCTCTTTGTAATTCACTTTATTAAACCAAACCATATACCAGCATATGAGCAAAGAAGATTTATGCAAACTGCTCCTTCATACCTCAAATGCACATACAAGAGGCAAGTATTCTTCATAGCCCCCAACATTACTGAAACAAAAACTGTAAAAATCTCTATAAGTAGTGGATGAAGGTGGGAAAACTACAGTATTTTGTTGCCCAGAATGTATTCAACGGTAAGGCTGCAAGAGATAATAATTCATGGTCAATACAGGCTTTTCATAAAGCAGTTAATTCAGTTACAAAAATTTTTAATTAAAACTTAATTCACCCTTAAAAGATTTTATTCCCTCTGTACGTGCTCTAGAAGCAGTCTCTCTAGATCAGAGACTATTTTCTCCTTCAGAATTTATTACAAGGCTACCTATCTTTTTTTTTGCCTTTCAGAGAAGGCTTCCCAAGTAGTGGAAGACCACTGTAATGTAATGCTTAGACACACCCCAAGCTGATGTAATTTCACCATTCTAGGATATTTAGTTAAGCATTTAAGAAGTTGGCTACTATTCCACTGACTACAGAAGGCAGATGTGCTGAAATTCCTAACCTGCACTAACAGATCTTATGCTACCGAATTTCCACACTTAAAAGTATAACGTTTCTAGAGTAATTCAAGACCAAAATGAAATACTCACATGAGGACCACTAGGCATTGATGGAGCACCAGCAGGACCAGATGGCACTTGAAAAGGATTAGGGGGCGTAGGATACAGTCCTGGAGCTGGATATAATCCTGTGGGTGGAGGAAATGGACCTGGCGGTGAAGGTCCCCATGTTCCAGGTGGGACCGTACCCCATGGTACTGTTGGCGCAGCCCCTGGAGTCTGGGTAGGAGCGGAATATGGCCCTGGGGGTGGATATGGCATGCTAGGTGCAGGATACTGCCCTCCTATTGTTGGTCCCCATGCTCCAGAGGGCATGGATCCCCATGGCCCAACAGGAGCAGGAGGTGCAGCTGGCTCTGTTGGACCACCATAAGGTCTTGGAAGCTCTGGAAAGGGCATATTTGGTGGAGGATATTGCCCTGGTGGGACAGGACCTGGCACAGTTGGGGGTGGATATGGACCACCAGGAGGAGGAGGAAATGGAGCAGGCGGTCCAGGGGGCATTGAAGGATACATTCCTGTTGGTGGAGGTCCAAATGGCATAGTGGAAGCGGACGTATTTGGTGGCAGTCCAGTTGGCGCCATAGGGGGAGCGCTTGGGTTATTCCAGGGATTTGAAGCTGGCCAACCCTGTGGTGGCTGACCAGGTTGCTGACCAGGTTTTGTACTGCTCACTTTGGAGGTTTTAGCAGGAGATTGATCTGGTAAAGCATCTGCCAGCTAAAAAACAAAGCACCAGTGAGAATGTAAAATGTCTACTGGACTTACTAGTTGCAGACATTCACCCACTATGTGTGTATGTTTCAGCTGCCAAAATAGGAAAACAGCTCTTTGCTGCTGCACAGAGATGATTACATTTATTTTTGTGCATCTTCTACCATTAAGGAAAAAGAGGCATTCTGACATGCTGCACTTAGCAAACCAATGGTAGAAAGTGACCAACCATACAGAGCAATTCTGCACAAATCCAAAAGGATTTTTACAGATTGCCGTTATATAACTATTCGGACACTATTAAACCACAATTCCTTTGGTAATATTATAGTAGAAAAGAACCCATGAAGTGCCCAGCAGCTTCGTGTGTTTAATCCACAGACTGCTACATCTACCCAAAAGGAAAACACCACAGCTGCAGTACAGAGGAAATAACCTCTCAACTGTAAGCTCTCCTTTCTTGAGAAAGCATGTCAACTTTTAGAATGAAGTAACCAACTGGCTGATCTCCAGGAAAGAAAAACTGCTACTTACCGAAAAATCATCGGTTCCAGACATTTTTCTGAAAATTAAGGTAAGATACAAGTTAAAATTGTTGAAAACAATAAAGTATTTCAAGCAAGAATTAGAGACAAACTCTACATTTGTATCATTTAAACCACAGTAAGTGCTGAACTGAGAGCACCTCTTAGCAGTGGCTTTGTTTAAATGACTGACCCATAGAGATGTGGGCTAGCCAAATACTTCCCTCTTGATAAAATCCTCATGAAAAGGCAAGTCTTCAGCCTCTACCTGTCTCATGTCAGACAGCAATGACACAATGTAAATGGGTCACATTACACTAAGAAAAATTATTTAAAGTATTTATACCAAGCAGGAAGCCTACCCAGACAGCAATGCCTGACAAGTATTCAAGCTCTTCTCTAAATTAGGACTCAGAAAAGGTAAGTCAGGCTGCTGCAGATAAAGTTTATGCTTCTAAAACAAAACATGATTAAATCCCCACACAGATCCTATTGTTAGAAGTAAAGAATATAGTTTGCTAGTGCTTTATCCTCCATTTCAGAACACACCAAAGATAGTGGATGCTCTTATTTACATTCACTGTTTCCACCAAAACTGAACATAGACACAGCAAAGGCGTCATTAATGCACACCTGACTTTACAAGAAACATTGCAAACAGGGATCAATGAGTCAGGTGCTGTCTTTCCATGAAGGCAACTACTGCACTTAAGAGCTTTCCAGAGCTTCATCTCAATGAACACTGACTGGCTTTGTCAATCTTCATTAGCCATACAAAAGGACAGCTGAAGGTATATTCAGTTTGACTGACTGACAAGAAATACTGACTAAAGGTGAAGAACTGTTAAAAGGATGACCAGAAGCAGGTGAAATAGATGGACATGCCCTAGTGCAGCCAGAAGGTTTTAGGGCAGAGTGCAGGAGGAGACAGAGAGGAACATAAGAGAAGATCTTTGTTTTTCCTTCTTGATAGTGAAGACCTTTTAACACAGAGATTGGTCTCAGGGATGGAGGTTTGGGCAGATGGCCTGTGACAAATGGGTTTATGAGCTCCATTAGATTATAAATTACATAATGCAAATAATGTACATATAAACTAGTCTTCTCTGAAACCATTTTGTAAATTTATTGCTATTGGCACAATTTCCTAATCTTAGGACAGTAGAGAATCAGAACAAGGGCCCATTTAGCTCAGCATCCCATTTTATCTTCAACAATGACTAGTAGGGAAGAATGAGAACAGGGATGACACCCCAATACTTCAATGATGCCAAACTCAGACACTCCCGAAGTTGAAGGCAATTTTTATAAAATAAAAACCCTCAGATAATTTATTTTCCACCAACACATCTAGTTTCCCTGCTTGCAGCTACAACATCCATTGGCAAAGAAGTCCACAGAATTGCTATTTGTTACACAAAAAGGCACCTTCTTTTTTGTTCTGTACCTGGATCTTACTAGTTTCAGATGTTGCTCCTTCACTCTTGCAGCTGAGGAATCAGTAAGTCTATCCTTACCCACCCTGCTCATGCTGATGATTATTCTATGGATTTTTATCATTTTCTTTCAGCTGTTACTTCTCTGAGGCTGAGCTCTTTTTCAGTGACCCCTGAACAGCAGCTATTCCATACCTTAGATTATTCTGTGTCTTTGAGTATTTTCCAATTCTTCTGTATCTTTTGATATGACTGACAAGAAAGAACCACAGAGAATTCAAGATGTGGGATAACCACTGTTTTATACAGTTTCATAATTATGCTCTGGTTTGTCTCCTGTTCTCTTCCTAATGCTTCTTACTGTTTCATCTGCTTTTTGATTGCTATGGAACTTACACTTTAGTAGCCCTATTTCATTCCTTGGTGTTAAGGGTCAGCTCATCATGTTATATATGAAATTATATGCACCACTCTATTACACCAGATTTATTGACACTGAATCATATCTGCCATTTTATTACCTATTACCTAATCCTAACTTTTCTGAATGGCTTTGCATCAAAAAGACACTGCTCATCTCATTTCTCAAGTTATTTTCGACTACACTTGAGCAACCCAGACACCTGTGGAAACAGAGTGAACTTCTCAAGATACACCTTATAATTTAAATAAACCTTTTAAGACATACAAATAATAGCATCACAGAATGGTCTGGGTTGGAAGAGACCTTAGAGACCACCCAGTTCCAACCCCCTGCCACATGCAGGGACACCTTCCACTAAACCAGCTTGCTCCAAGCCCCATCCAACCTGGCCTTGAACGCTGCCAGGGATGGTGCAGCCACAGCTTCTCTGGACAACCTTTGCCAGTGCCTTACAGTGAATAACTTCTCCCTAATATCTAATCTAAACCTCTCCTCTGTCAGTTTAAAGCCATCCCCCCTTGTCCTATCTCCACAGGCTCTTGTCAGAAGCCCCTCTTCAGTCAGCCCCTTTAGGCACTGGCAGCTGTTCTAAAGTCTCCCTGGAGGCTTCTTCTCTCCAGGCTGAAGAAGCCCAGCTCTCTCAGCCTGTCTCCACAGCAGAAGTGCTCCAGCCCCAGAGCATCCTCATGGCTTTCTCTGGGCTTGCTCCATCAGGTCCATATCCTATTATGTTGGGGGCCCCAGAGCTGGATGCAGTACTGCAGGTGGGGTCTCACAGGAGCAGAGTAGAAGCAGGAAAAATCACCTCCTTCGAACTGCTGGTCACGCTGCTTCTGATGCAGCCTTACGCTTACTTGGCCTTGTTTAACTTAACAAGGTTCACACAGGCCTACCTCTCCAACCTGTCCAGGTCCCACTGAATGCCATTCCTTCCTTCTAGCATGCCAACTGCACCACACAGCTTGTTGGTGCACACAAACTTGCTGAGGGTATGTTTGATCCCACTGTGCCCGACAAAGACATTAAACAGCATTGACCCCAGTAGCGACCTCCAAGGAGCGCCACTCATCACTGGTCTCCACCTGGACATCAAGCTGTTGACCAAAACCCTTAAGAGTGTGACTACCCAGATAACTCACTATTCACCAACTGGTCCACCCATCAAATCCATACAAGCACAAACATTTGAATCTTTGTATCAGATGAGATACTCATTGATCTGAACCATGTATTTGTTTCAATTTGAGAAACAAACAGCAGGAAAGTGGTTTCTATTCCTGTTGTTAACAGCTCAGCCATTCGAGAGATATCTACCAGAAAAAGCAGGATTTCTCTTCAACAGATACCTCTTATGTTGAGTTCATTAGTTTTTGCAATGAACCATGTTCAGTAATAATCAGAAGTTGGTATGTGCTTCTTAGTGTCAGCTTCTCAATTTACCTGTACAGACAGAAGCTACTTAATCTAACCTACAACATACAATAACTTTTTTACATAAGTGCACATGTAAATGTATTCATAAGCAAAACAAAAAACCCCAAACAGGTTAGCAACACCAAATCAGACCAAGAGAATCAGCCTTTCTTTAGGCAGATGGAGAGATGGGGTAAGACCCCCTGAAACACAGACCTACAAGACAGTGGAAAAAGCCAAGAGAAGAAGTTGGAATATATGCAACAAGGAAGAGAAGGGAGAAAGGAAACAGGCCTAAAGCAAAACTCAGAAGAAAATCCCATGATCTTTCACAAAAGTGACAGGGAGTAGTAAATTCAAGTCAAAGCAGTGGATGAACACAGCTGAAACAGGCCTGCTCACAAAATATCAACACATATTCCCAGTATTTGTCAGCAGATAATTTCTAAGTATTTGTGCCATAAAAATTAAGGAAACAATTCTGCTGCATGACTTATGGAAAAAAAAAATCATAGTTAAGCATATCTTATAATGAGATTTAGTGGCTTTTTTACTTTGGCAAGCAGACAAGAGCAACATTTGTTGGCAACATTTGGCACAACTGAGTCAATGCCAAGCATGTCAAGGATCTTCTTGCAGACAGAATGGCCTACTTCAGGGACAGTTTTTAAACATACATTTAGTCTGGGTGCTGCTGCCTTAGTTTAACAAAAACCCCTGATTTTACCATTAGACACAATCAGACAACATATGAACTAATCTGTACTTAAATCTAGGATATATATTCAAGTTGTTCAACACTAGTTATAAGGAATTTCAGTCAAAACCTTAAGGAAATATAAATTATATTGGGAAGTCTTGCCCAAGGCATTCCCATGGTCACAAATTAAGAGTCACTGTCAGAAGACCTCCAAGTAACTCAATTCTAAAGTCCCCAACTGGTCATATGTGGGCTCAAGATTTTAGAAAAATGCACTGAATTGTGCCTTTACTAGAATTTTAGATTCAGTAAACAAATGGATTCCCATTTCCTGCTGAAGCCTTCCATGAGCAGCACTGCACAAGAACCGATATAACCAGAGGAGAGTCAATGTCACAGATACCTGTTTTGACACACTTAAACTCTACTTCTAATTACTCTTTCCTGGAGTTGGGGGATGAAAGAGTGACTGGAAGAAGGAGGGTTCAGGAGTCGGCAGGGTACAGAAAGACTATAGAACTGGCAGCATTCAAACTGAAGTCCTGCTTGCATCCACTGTGCTCTAAGATTTCCTTTGTATTCTGAAGCCACGGCCCCTGGAAACATCCCTGCTTTCCAGAAGCACAGAGCCTGCCAGCTCTGGATTGCTGGTCAGGGCACCACTGCTCAGCCCCCTCTGAAACACATATGGCCATAAGTACAGAACTAAAGCAACGGAGAGAGTAAGATGAAAGACATCTGCAAGAAAAAAAAGGCATCTAGGAGCAGAATCTCTCTCATCCTTTATCCTGAAGAGTAATGAGAAGACATGAAGGACTTCCACTGCACCTACCCAGAAACCACACACAGCAGATTCTTCAGATGACAGTCCAAGGCCTCCTGGATGCCCATGAGTTGCTCCCAAAAATTAACAGCAGGTAGGTGACACAAGCAAGCCTGCTGGCTCCACACCACAGGCTGGAAAAAGGCTGGGAAGCACTCCTCACACAGCAGCGGCAGGCTAGTTCTACCAACAGCGCTCAAGAGCAACCAGTGGTTTTCACAGGGCTGTGAAAAGCCCATTTCTGGAAGTGTGGTGCTACGTGTGGCATGCTAAATCTGTCCTACTGAACAGTTTCTGCAACAAAATAGCTCCACAGTGGATTTTTAAGCTCTAAACACTCTTTGATCACATCCAGCCCAACTGAAACTGATGGATGTAGTAGCATTTTTTTCCCCATGCTCTTGCCTTTCTTGGCTTCTATCCATCGTTAGTCCTTAGAGACCCTTGTTAAAAGAGCTGTCCAAAACACTTCGTTCTACTCAAGCTATCCAAAACTAAGCATCAACTGCTTTCATTTTTGAGTTGTATGACATTTTTCCAACAGTTGATGTGCCAGATTTAGTTCCTGTCTCCAAGATCATCTTTCAAACACTGAAAAATGCTTTCTAGATGCTACAGGCTTTGCTGCATTTCCACTGGGTGGCATGGCTCTATCAGCAAAGAAGTTCTTTTGTCACTCTAACATGACTAATACCTACCAGCATAACCTCATCTACAACAAGATTTCTGCCCACATAAATACAACTACCCAACATAGCTGTACAGATAAAATGGAAGAGAGACCAAATCTTTGACAGCTTATAAATGTTTTCTAAAATATGTAAATTTCTGCAGCTTCTACCTTCCAGCTTCAAGCATCAACATTTTATCGCTGCCTTTCTCTACCCTTAAAGCCTTTCCAGCAGCTGCACTGATGCACTTAGGTACCTATATGCAATCATTTAGTCTGACCTGCATGTTTATTTCTTGGGAGAATAAAGGCAATTGATAAAGACACTTAAGGGGAAAAAAAAACCAAACCAACAGTTGCATCATTAGTATCTGTGTGAGATTTGATGATCTTCCTGCTGCTTCCTATGTCTGTTTTGACTGACAAAAAGGACAGAAGTCAGATTTTTAGTTGTCAGATTTTTCAGGACAGATTTAATTAAGACTGACAACCAAAATGTTGCATTTGCTATAAATTATCAACTGCCAGAAAAAAAGTCTTCAGAATAGAGGTCTTTTCAGTTTCCAAGACCTATAATATACAAAGCCATAAGGAATTGTAATCTGTTCCAGTTTTCTACTCATGACAGGCCATTCAGTTTCACAGCTGCTTCCCCACCACGACCAGACCTAATCCCTTCAGATGGTCACATCACAAGCAGATGGCTCCAAACCAGGCAGACATACATCACTTTTAAGTCAGTTTGTTCACGGGCCAGCTGTGATAGAAAATCAGTGCAGAACACATAGTCTCTACTCCTGTCCACACCATCCTACTCTGTGGATCTTGCAAAAGATATATTTGTCCAGCAGCAGCTCAGAATAATTAAAATTTATCTTCTACAGTTGCCTTTAGACTTTCTTGAGAGCTATGGAACCTATTCTCATTGTGTTATCCTCATTTTTAAAAGGTGCTTTATTTCTCATTTATAGCTTTAGCTTCTAATTATCAGTTCTTCTGAAGTCTGCTTGAACTAGCTAGAAAAGCAATTTAAAGAATACCTGTGTCCTCCTCCTACCATAACTTTATACTCAGGAATTATCTGCTCAGTTACTTGTATTTGTTCTTGATGAAATAAGCATACTGACCCCGAGCGTGAGGGACTATGAAACAACTTCACTGCAGGGCTTTTAGCGTGTTGCTCTCCCCCACAGTGAAATGATCAAAGCTGTGTCTCATAATCGAGTTCTAGCCTCAATAGTGCCCAACCAAACCACACACTTTTCTGCTCCTTAACAGAAGCTCTTTTCCAGGGTAACTGTTTTTCAAAACAAAAATCTCTCTTTATGAGTAAAGCTGACATCTTGATTTGGTGCTGGAGTAATGAACTCAAGCTTTAAGAATATGATAAGTGCTGCCTAGGACTGGCCTGATATTTACCATAAGTTTTGTAGCAGCCACTGGTCTTCATGGGTCTGGCGCGGGGACAGTTTTATTTAACAAAAATAAAGTAAAAACTACCTTTGTTCTTACATCCACTGACAATAAGGTTGAACAGCATGAGATCAACAAAGTTTTCCACGGAATCCACCTAGAAACAGTTCTCTCTCAGGCACAAAACCTGTCAGATAATTAGTTATCTCTCAAAGCAATGTGCCCATTGTACCACACAGTGCTAGCTTTCCCATTAAGCCAGTAACCTTAAGTGTATTAACATTTGATAAAATGGACTTTATAAGATAAACTATTAAAAATTTACTTGCCTGAGACCCGTTTAGTGAAGAACTTTTAAGTTAAAAAGTCACTTAAAATCCGATCCACGCTCTTCTATAGATTACGACCATAAAAACAAGCCCACAAGATATTTTACCCAGTCAGGACCGTTACGGCTACAACCTTTACACAGAGTAAACCAGGATCCGCTATAAACGAACCTTCCCCGCTCTGCAGCCGCCAGCGGAGGCCGCCCCAGGTAACGGAAAGCGGCAGTAGTCGTCAGGCGACCACCGGTACCTCGGGGCGATCCGCCCGCCCCAAGCGGCGGGTCCCCAGGAGCGGAAGACCGGCTTCCACCACTCACTCGGGGCCGGCGACCCCCGGCACCACACCTCCAGCCCAGCAGGGCTGGGAGAGGCAGCGGCAGCTCCCCACCCGCCCCTCCGGGGAGCGGGAAGAGCCAGCTGCGGCCCGGCGGCCCCCGGGGCCGGCCCCGCCGCTGAGGTGTGGGATGAAGCCCCCTCCCTTCCCGCTCCTCCCTCCCTCCCCTCCGCACCGGTGTGGCCCCGCTCGCTCCCTGCCGCCGGGGCCGGCCCGGGCAGGGGGTACCTGTGCAGGCGGGGAGCGGCGCGGCGCGGCGCGGCTCAGGCCAGGAGCGAGGCAGCAGGCGGCGGCCCGCAGCACCACCACCGCCACCCCGAAGCACAGGCGGCCACAGCGGCATGGGCCCGGGCTGGATCGCGGCTGCCAGGCAGCGCGGAGCAACACCGCACGGCGCGGGAGATGGGCTGGTTCAGCCGGGGGAGGGGAAGGCTCCAGGGAGACCTTAGAGCAGCTCCAGTGCCTAAGGGGGCCGACAGGAAAGGTGGAGAGGGGCTTTTGACAAGGGGCTGTAGGGAAGGGACAACAGGGAATGGCTTTTAACTGACAGAGGGGAGATACAGGTTAGATATTAGGGAGAGGTTACTCACTATGAGGCTCTGGCACAGGGTGCCCAGAGAAGCTGTGGCTGCCCCATCTCTGGCAGTGCTCAAGGCCAGGCTGAACAGGGCTTGGAGCAGCCTCACACTTCCGACCTAAAGGATGGACAGGCATGTCTGAAAACTTGGAGGTTTTCTCATAAGGGAGCACAACCTCTGAACCTGTATCTTCATGTCCTCAGACCCTTGCAGTAAAGAGGACTGAATACATCACATCGCTTCCCTGCCCTGCCCCTCCAAGATATGGCACTAATCCTGCAAGCATTTGCATGCACAGATAATTCTGTTAAACTCAGCAGAAACACAGGCATGGGCAATGCCGAGAACATGCCATTCGTGTCCCATGAGCTGCCACCCTTCCCCTCACCAGCGCCCATCTATTTCTATTTTTCACAGTCATTATTGGGACATTTCTGAAGCAACTGGGGAAAACCAGCAGCAGGAGCAGGGCCTAGGCATTGGGGTAGCTGCAACAGTTGCAAAACTGCAGTACTTTTACTTATTTGCATAAATCATTACTACCAAAACTAAACAGACGTTTGCTACAGACCCAGTCCCAGGGTGGCACAGTAAATTTGTTAATCTGTTCCCCTCCAAATTCAATTAAATGACTTGGAAAATTTAGTCTGGCTGCACAGTTCATAGTGGACCTCCTCACGTTTGTCCAGAGGAGGCCATGAAGATGCTCAGAGGGCTGGAGCACCTCTGCTATGGAGACTGTGGAGAAAGCTGGGCTGGTTCAGCCTGGAGAAGAGAAGGCTTCAGGGAGAACTTAGAGCAGCTTCCAGTGCCTGAAGGGGCTGACAACAAAGCTAGAGAGGGGCTTTTTGCAAGGGCCTGTAGGAATGGGACAAGGGGGAATAGCTTTAAACTGATGGAGGGGAGATTTAGATTAGACATTAGGAAGAAGTTCTTCCCTGTGAGGGTGCTGAGGTGCTGGCACAGGGTGCCCAGAGAAGCTGTGGCTGCCCCATCCCTGACAGTGTTCAAGGCCAGGTAGGACAAGGCTTGGAACAACCTGGTCTAATGGAAGGTGTCCCTGCCCATGGCAGGAAGGCTGGAACTGGGTGAGCTTTAAGGTCCCTTCCAACCCAAGCCATTCTGTGATTCTGTGATTTTTTTGCAATTGCCTTTTTGAGTTCATCAATCACTTGGAGTGACTTCACGTAGAAACAGCACTTCTGGCATGGCATCTTCCTGCTGCTGTGTGCCAGGCACAGTGGTTCAGCTCACCTTCGCTTTTCCACACTCACATGGGCCCCACCATGGGGCCCATGCAGTCCACTGTTGCCTGGACTGTGGCAGTGATAGCAGGAGTCCCCAGAGCATGGCTTTTCTTCCTGAACAATCTGGTAGTTAAAACCTTAATTAATGAGCAAACCAATGGCCAACAACAGTGATGATCTATATCATCTACCTGGACTTGTGCAAATCATTCAACACAGTCCCACAGGACATCCTTGTCTCTAAATTGGAGAGACATCAATTTGGTGGATGGACCACTTAGCGGATAAAGAACTGGCTGGATGGCCACACACAAAGAGTTGTGGTCAATGGCTCAATGTCCGGCTGGAGACCAGTAACGAGTGGTGTCCCTCAGGGATCGGTGTTGGGACCGGTCTTGTTCAGTGTCTTTGTCAGTGACATGGACAGTGGGATTGAGTGCACCCTCATCCAATGACACCAAGCTGTGTGGTTCGGTTGATACCCTGGAGGGAAGGAATGCCATCCAGAGGGACCTCGACACGCTTGTGACGTGGGCTGATGCCAACCTCATGAAGTTTAACCATGACAAGTGCAAGGTCCTACACCTGAGTGGGGTCAGAGCAATCCCAGGCACAGCTACAGGTTGGGCAGAGAAGAGATTCAGAGCAGCCCTGCGGAGAAGGACTTGGGGGTGTTGGTCGATGAGAAAATGAACATGAGCCGGCTTCAGTGTGTGCTTGCAGCCCAGAACGCCAACCGTATCCTGGGCTGCATCAAAAGGAGTGTGACCAGCAGGTCGAAGGAGGTGATCCTGCCCCTCTCCTCTGCTCTTGTGAGACCTCACTTGGAGTATTGTGTGCAGTTCTGGTGTCCTCAGCATAAAAAGGACATGGAACTGTTGGAACAAGTCCAGAGAAGGGCCAAGAGGATGATCAGGGGACTGGAGCACCTCCTGTATGAAGAAGCCTTCCAGTATCTGAAGGGGGGCTATATAGGGATGCTGGGGAGGGACTGTAGTGACAGGACAAGGGGTAATGAGTTAAAACTTAAACAAGGAAAGTTTAGATTGGATATAAGGAAGAAATTCTTTACTGTAAGGGTGGTGAAGCACTGGAATGGGTTGCCCCAGGAGGTTGTGAATGCTCCCTGGTGGTGTTCAAGTCCAAGCTGCACAGAGCCTTGGGTGACATGGTTTAGTGTGAGGTGTCCCTGCCCATAGCAGGGGGGTTGGAACTAGATAATCTTAATGTCCTTTCCAACCCTAACTATTCTATGATTCTATGATATCTCACTTGAAGTATCTCAATTATACTCAAGTATCAAATTGGGACTGCAATAGCACTTTCAATCAATATCCATACCAGCCAACCTCACCAACCTCCATGTTAGGATCACCCAATGTGTAATAAATGCACCCCCTCCTTTCTGAAAAAGCAGAAAGAATGGTGAATTTTTGTACAAATATTTATTTTTATACAGAGCTTTCCCCTCCTTCAGGCAAATGCAGCTCTCCATCTGTGTGTATATATATGCTGAAGGCTGTAAAAAGAGCTGCAGGTGCAACTTTACATAGTTTGTGTGCAATTGGTCCATCTTAGTGCCAGGAGCAGGACTTGGGTCTAACACTGAGCCCTGGCCACATCCTATTGCAAGACATTACTTTGCACTCAGAATTATGTAATGGAAAAAATGTTGGGATGAAATTGCAAATTTAGAGCTTGTGTGCAGCTCTTAAGGAAGAGAAAGGAAGCTGAGTGAAGGAAATTTGGCTCCCAGCTAGTAAGAGGCATTATTTTCCGTGCCTCCATTGTAGGACCTGCTATGGTATTATTTAAATTATTCAGAAAGGCTGTTTGGTATAATAATGTGAGGGCAGTCCTTTATTACAGGTCCGTGTTGGTGTGTGTTGCCTGTGCTGTTGCCTGTAAGTTACAGGTGTAGGTTGCTTTCTTTTTTCTTCAGCATCATATAAATATTTGGGTTGGAAAGAAACTCTGGTGTAACCTCCTCAAAACAGGGCTGGCTTTGAACCTTGTCTGCTTGAGTTTCCAAAGTCGCCAAAGTCAGAGATTGCACAACCTCTCTGGAGCTTTAGCCCCATCCCTAAATACAGGCACTGTGAATACTACCACTATTCCTTGCCTCTTTGTCAGACTTTCTCTTGCTGCAACTCGTAACTGTTCCTGATTGTCCTTTTGCCACAAGCCTGTGCAAAGTATCTGCCTGCTTTGTAACGCCCCTTTGCGTGGCTGGAGGCTGCAGTGAGGTGCCTCCTACAT